CCATATCGTCCCAAATGTTACGATTTCATTCTTCTTTATGGCGGAGTAATACTCCATTGTATAAATGTACCACAATATCTTAATTCAGTCATCTACCGATGGGCATTTCGATTGTTTCCAAGTCTTGGCTATTATGAATAGCGCCGCAATAAACATAGGGGTACATATATTTTTTCGAATTAGCATCTTGGGTTTCTCTGGATAGATACCCAAGAGTGGAATTGCTGGGTCATACGGTAGTTCCATTTCCACTTTTTTGAGATATCTCCGTACTGATTTCCATAATGGCTGCATCAATGTGCAGTCCCAGCAACAGTGCAGCAGGGTTCCCTTTTCTCCAAAGCCTTGCCAGCACTTGTTGTTTGTTGATTTATTGATGATAGCCGTTCTGACTGCAGTGAAGTGGTATCTCATTGTGGTTTTTATTTGCATTTACCTAATGATTAGTGAGGTTGAACATTTTTTCATATGCCTGTTGGCCATCTGTATATCCTTTTTAGAGAAATGCCTCTTCATATCCTCTGCCCATTTTTTAATTGGGTTGTTTGTTTTTTTGGTGTTGAGTTGAATGAGTGTTTCATAAATTGTGGATGTTAACCCCTTATCAGAGATATCATTGGCAAATATCGTCTCCCATTCAGTAGGCTGTCTTTTTGTTTTCTTGATGATTTCCTTTGCTGTGAAAAAACTTTTAAGTTTGATGTAATCCCATATGTTAATTTGTTCTTTTATTTCGCTTGCCCATGGGGACAGCTCAGTAAAAATATTACTGAGGGTGATGTCTGCAAATTTATTCCCAATTTTTTCTTCTAGGAGTTTTATGGTTTCAGGTCTTGCATTTAAGTATTTAATCCATTTTGAATTTTTCTTGTATATGGTGTAAGTAGGTGGTCAATTTTCATTTTTTTGCATGTATCATTCCATTTCCCCAGCACCATTTATTAAATAGACTATCTTTACTCCACTGTAAATTCTTGCTTCCAATGTGATAGATTAAGTGACCGTATATGGATGGGTTTATTTCTGGGCTCTTTATTGTGTTCCATTGATCTATGTGTCTGTTTTTATGCCAGTACCATACTGTTTTGATTACTGTAGCCTTGTAGTATGATTTGATGTCGGGTAG